TTGAAAAACCACATCAGTATACCCCAAACTAGTCAAGCACAGGGGACTATACACTAGGAATTTGGGGGTTTGTTATTTGCCTATTATTTATTAGGACAGGAAAGAGCATCCCATTATTGCCCCAGATTAATGGTAACTGAAATTACTGGCAGTAGTCTTTAATTATAATTCACCTAGCATGATCACTTAGAAGACAGTGTCACTTCAATAAAGATGAATTTCATATTGCACAAAACTCACTGGTCTTCTACTTCTGTGTATAAAATAAGCAGTGCAGCATCTAAAACTGCCATTTCATTATAGGACAAACTGTTTCCATGGGAATCCAATTACCTTATTTGTTAAAATGTTTTGAAAAATAATTGAAGAATGACATCATCTGACCAGAAAGGATATTGAGCTTTAACAGTACAGAAATAGTACATCAGGAGACAAGGTCTCCTAGGATATTATTGATAAACTCAGAAACTTGAGACAAGACAGAAATACTTAAAAGTAATCAAACTTTTCAAAACGTTTATTCTCTGCCTGTAGTAACTGAAACAGATTCAAATACTACTCCTTATTTGAAGGCAGTGCATATAAAATGCATATGACCTCTATAATAACGATAGAAAAATAACAAAATGCTAGTCTGGTGTAGAGTAACTTAGACACTTCTCACATTCTGATATATAAAACATGTATTTTCTTAACTCCCTCTCCTCCCTGACATTGTAGACACTTGGAGAAAGAAAGAAGTCACACACTTCGTTGAAATTATTAGCCTGACAAAGAACTATCACTATATGTTTATGTAAACTCTGACAGTGACTCTGTCATTTGGCAGTTTAGTGATATTTGTTATGGAAGGAGACTTTCAAAAGCTATTTATTAATGTTCAAGAGAAGCCAGTGTATAGGGACTACAGTTGAAATGAAGGAAAGAGGTATATTTCTGCTAGGAGTAATCCTTTCTTTAAAAAAAAGTAGTTCATTCAAGGAGAACACATTGCTACTTATACCTTGGAATGTGTAAGTTTTCCCAGCATTTGTAACACCATATGTAAAAATAAGACGATTATATCCATCTAAGAAATCTTGCACTGGTTGCTTCATGGTACCTTCAAAGAATTCTTCTTGAGTTGTTTCAGGTCCAAACACCTAAGCATTACCAAGAAACACCTTTATACTTTCAAGTGATCATTAGAAACTTCTAAAGAATCCTTTAAATTCTGTCTGTTTATAATGTTAATGAGTATTGGCAGTTTAAAAATCTAGTTTGCTTGGTATTAAATAATGTAAGTTAAACAATTTCTTCCAAGAATAAATTAAAAACTTTTGAAGACAAGTCATTTACTCGTGAAAAAGTGAACTTCTGTATCATCTGTCCAGCAGATTTTTCACTTAGTCGACTCAAAGAGTTTTTGGGTGGCTTCAGTATGATGCTTGTTGAGTCTTCAAGTGAAACGCAGTTCTATTAAAAAGAAGCACAAGTAATGCAGGCATGAAAACAGTACAAAAAGCTCAGCTTACAGGAGGGAAAAAAATAAAAACAACCACAACACAACATGCAGAACACCCCAAACATACATTTGAAGTATTTTTAAACTGTCACACCTGCAATTCATTTTCTCTTTCCAATGATGTAAATGGTCTAATACGCAGGCAAACTTGTATGTGTCCCTTAGAGTCCAAACTGCTCCTCTTAAATTATAAAAAAAAAAGAAAAATTAAGAAAGTTAGAAATGTGACTAGATTGTTTGTTAACTAGCATGTTAAGGCAGTTTTATCTTCATCAGGCTATTTTGAACAGAATTATCTGATGACAAGGGAAACAAAAGCAATTCACTACATCAGTTTTCACAAGTGCTTTGGTTCCTGGAAAAGTTCACTGTGATAACTTTAAGAGTTAATACTCTTGCAGCACATATATATGTATATGCACACATTCAGGCCAACTAGAGATCTAGAATGAAACCCACAAAAACAATCTATAATTAGGCTGCTCTGAATTGGCAATTAGCTTCATTGAAAGAAGACTCATGCATCCAATAAGGTATCGATGCAGTGCCACACAACTTGGTCTAATCCTATATATCTCCTCCAAATTAAAAACATGCTAAAGATGGTTTTTATGTTCCCAGTAAAATTCTGATCTTATTGATGAAAGGACTAAGCTTATTAAAAAAAATAAATCCAAACAATGCCAACATTAAAGCTTTCTTACCTGGCTTGTGTCTGAGCTTGAAGAAACCAAAGAAAATTCAGCAGAGAGATCTGCTTTAAGATCTTCAACATTTATTGGTCCTGTCCTTTGTGGCTCAACACTAGCAACATAGGATGGTCTGAAAATTTTCTCATTATCCAAAGTCAGTTCCATCCTGCAAGATAAAACTATTTTTTTTTCTCTCTGATCACATAACGTAGAGCTTCTGAAGTCTTTCAGAAAACAAATCAATTTGAAACCAATAGCCACAATTTCTTTAAGGAAAAAGCTTTCTTTATCTTATTCATAATTTACATTACATGTTTCTGATAACTGGGCTGAGGGTCTGCAGTGGGGTTCGCAGCATGATGAAACAAGAACAGCCCTTCTTCTTCCAGTTAAAAGCAACTACTTACCAGGGAGAAGCATTACACATATACCACAGCCTTGTTAAAAGCCATGTCTGACAAGGAAGATATAATTAAAAACAAACAAAACAATCATATTGTTCCATATCCATTTCTCCATCATCCCTCTGCAGTGTCCATTTAGAAAAAAAGCTCATTGCAAGAGTAACCAAACTTCACTGTTAGCTCTGCAGGACCTCATAAATAGTTGGTATTATAAAGGTAACACTATGTAGCTTAATACAAGACAGAGTTCAGAAACATTCTGAAGACTAACATATAGTTTTAGCTATTAAGGTAACACTACAAAATTACAAGACCTTAATGCAGAGTACAAGTTGAAGTACTGCTTTATAGTAATTTTTGCAGTCATTTCACAAATCAGCAATTCTTTTATTAATGCCTCATTTAATGATTTTTGCGCATCTCATTCTGAGCAGTGAAAATCTGCTACAGAAAATGAAAACAAATGGATTCAGTGTTGATTGTAGACAAGTAAATTTCAGAAACAACCTGTAAAAGTGCATTTTATTTACAAATATTAGTGTATTTTCTCTGCACTTTACTCTCCAATTGCTTTTTCCTGTGATATTACACATGTGACTTGGCAGCTTTTCTAATGGGTTAAGTTTAATAGAACTTACTGTGTAATTATTCATAGACTACAGCAGTAAGCGTTCTAGCAATTAGACACCTATCACATGGCCCCCTACAGTTTTTAAACTTCAGACACAACAATTCTATGGTCTTCCAATATCACATTCCCATTTCTACACTACAATGATGCATAGAATTCTCTCTAAATACTAATGGATAACATAGAGTGTCCATTAAAAGAGTGGATATACAAGGGTGTGTTATGTTCAAAGCACTTTCACTAGGGAAAAGGATTGCCTATTATGCAGTTGTTACATTTTTGCTCCCCCCAGCAAAAAACCTGAAATATGCCTGCACTTTGGTGACAAAACACTTAACAGCTCGGTCCTCCTATCTAGACTAGTTGAAGGCAAACAAAGGTCACCAAGATGCAAATGAGGTAAAGCTATACATAAAATAAGCAGCAATGTTTATTTTGTTTCTTCTGATCCGATGTTTTCATTTTTGTAAGACAATCATATGAAAACCAGGAAAAACTTGGCCTGTAATATTATCAAAGCTTGAACAAACACTGACCTGGGAATAAGCTACTACCAGAAAGAAACATACCTGTGCTGCCATGATCTAGAAGTCTTATTCATCAGCTACACGAAGTCACACTACAAAATTCTTACCAGGCCTTGACAGGAAACATATTTACTAGATAACTGACATTTTAGTTGGTTTAAATATAACAACTTGCACTTGAAACTAAGCTTAAGATTATGCTCTCATTATGTGTCTTTTTACGTAAGGGGCCAAAGCCAAACATTAATTTATGTATGCAAAACTGGAACTCAAAAGCATTCACATGAACCCAGCACTCCAATCAGTAAGGTTTAACCCCAGACAGCATGCAAAACGTAAGATGCAGACTATCCATCTGTCTCCACATTGCATCATAACAGCATTGTAATTACCTTAGCTGTTCCAGTGTAAACAGATGCATTGCCTGGCTTTAGCCAATAAAAACCACTGGTATACTGGGATATGGCATTATAACTCTGCTTACAGTGACATCAGTTTAGAGCTACAAGGCACTCGCAGAGAAGGGGATCCAGAGTAGCACACAAAGGAAAGTATGGTCACAGTACACGCACAGACTAGCACAGACTGTCAGGCAGCACAAGGAAGGGTTAAAAAGGCTCCAAACCACACAGCTAGCAGCTTATAGAAAACATAAAGAGTAAAAAAAAAAACCTTCCCTCTGCAAATATCCATCTCGCACTTGCAGGCTGCGCCCTGTTTTCCCGTTCTTATAGGGACGCTGCCGCATGGCTTTGTCAGCATCACGGCCCTGGGCCGGGCGTTACCCGCGACTTGCAGGCTCCACAGCAGTACCAAAAAGTTTGCCCCCCACCCGCCCTCCTGACGTCTCACCCCCCGCAACGCTAGTAACCACAAAGGCCGCGAGTGGAAGCGGCCTCAGCATCGCCCGCCAGGCAAGCCCCCTACACTGCTCCCCAGCTCCGCGACCCGCCGGCCGCAACCACCGCCTCCTGCCTTCCTCAAGCGAGGGCCCAGCGGCCCCGCAACCCACATGGGCTTACCTCGCTTGGCGTAGGCTCTCAGCGAAGTAAGTCCAACCGCCGACCCCCTCCGCGCGAAGTCCGCTGCGCTGCCCGGTCAAGCCCCGCCGCTGCCCCGCGCACCGCAGCGTACCACCTACGGCCGCGGCTTCTTTTCAAATCTGGCCAATGGCAGGGCACGGCGCCGCGCGGCCTTAGGGGAGGGCGGACGTTGCCGCGGCGAAAGGCTCGACGGGAAATGTAGTCTCAGGTGGGGCGGGAAAGCGGCGCGGGACGAGGTTTCCCCTCGGGCGGCGGCGGGGCTTTGCCATGCGGGTGGGTTTGCTGAGGTTTCTGTGTTGCACGTACACGGAGCCGTCAGGGCCTGCCCTCTCAGTGGCGGCAGGCCTTCGACTGCCACTGGAAGGCGCCCTGGCCTCGCCGGGCCTGCCCCGCGGCCTGCCCTCACCTGCCCCTCTCGCCGTCTGCAGTGGTCGGGGCTTTGCCTCCCTCGGGCCTGGCAGAAGGATATATGTAAGTTCGAGCTCGTCGGTTCTCTGGGTGGTTGCACTGATGCTATTTCCACAGGCGTTTTGCAGGCTGAGTGGCAAGATCAGGCTTTGCAGTCTGTATGTAAGCAGAATAATCACTGTTTGCGGGCAGTGAAAGGGAAAGGGCCGGGTGATCTGCTCAGGCTGCAGATGCCCTATATCAGAACTTGGATCAGCAGAATTGGGAAACTTCAGTTTTAAGTTCAGGCTGTGCTTGTTCCTCACACTGGGTTACAATACTGATGGAGTGACAGCTGTGCAAAACACTTAGTAAGGTATCTTTGGTTAAAACTTTCCCCAGGTAGAAATTAATGTTTAGTACCAGGTTTGCATGATACGGATTTAATTTCTTAAACAGCAGTGAGAGAAATCCTTCCGCTTTATTTTCAAAACAGTGTCATAATGCCAAACATATCATCATTTTTCCAGAATGTCAGGGTACGGAAATGTACAGGTTTTGGTAACATAAATCACCGTAAGTTTCTCTTTAGACCCAGGCAGGAATTCTTTGAACTTTAATAAGGAGTGTCTGCCTGTTTTAAATTGAAATAAAAGAAAAAGTAACTTGAAAGTAGTCAGTAACTACCAAAACCAAATGTTTGTTTTTCATTTGAAGAAAATGCCAGCTAGTGCAAGCAATTCTATAAAAGAATAATTTTACACAGATCCTGCACTGGCTGCTTTGATGAGGTTGTCTTTAAGATTATATCCCATCTTTCTTTAAACAGAGGTTATGTCATATCAGTAAAAGATGTGTGCTTGATTTCAATTCAGATGCAGGCCATGTTGCAAGAGTTGGTGTGTTTTAACAGCAGAAAATTATGCAATTTTGAATTTGAAACTGTTTGCCAAACAAAACTGAAAAGCTCATGTAGACATTCTTCAAGACTTAGGCAAACTCTAAAAAAAAAAAAGTATCTTTGTTTCTATCCTGAACAGAACAGTGAATTCAAACTACTGAACTAACCTAATACTAAACCACCTTTTTCATACCAGGAGGGGAATGAGAATGGCTCTCAAAGAAAGGGGAAAATTAGCTCCTGCAAGCAAAGCTGAAAGTTGTTCTCTTCTACTTGTTGGAAAGGAAAACTGAAGATCTCAGAATATTTTGCAAGGTATATTCCTAAAAGGGTTAGGGGCTATTTCCTGCAGAAAATTGTTCTTGCTAAGTTGGGGCATAACAAAGCTCATGGTACAAGCAATATTTTGGTGTTGTTTGAATATTAGATTTCTGAAACTGTTTTTATAATACTGCACATGCTGCATAATTTAAACTATTATCTCAAAGGACTACCATAAAAGAGCAAACAAAAACACAATCTAACACGTGCTCCTAGTCTCACCCAAACCATGATAAAGAAAACATGAGATCAGCATAATCAACCCAGCCTGTTCTGGAGTGGGAGATGATGAAACTCCATCTATGTAAATAACCTTTATGGCTTTCCACCAATATATTCTCCTTAAAGTGGTTTGTGCAAGGGCAGCCAGTTGCAACAAAAATATCTGCTGCCAAAACTGTTAACTCATTAGCCACTGGAATTTGATTATGTTTCTTTTCAAAATCTCTGTAACTTGTGGAGCAAGGTTGCCACTCCCCAAGAGGAAGAGTTTTTTTATAAATGACTTGTTACAACTCTCACTATTACCCTTAGAAACTTATGCTGCTTATATTTGGGACAGGATTCAAAAGTTGTGGCTAGTCTACTCATCTGAATGATGAGATGATGCCCTGTGAGACAGCATATCTCAGCTAGCTTCTACACTGCTGTCAGAAGTAATCAGAGACACAGTCAACACTTCTGGGACTTGGCCCAGCATCCTTCAGCACATCTGAGCAGCAGCCAAACCAGGACTGGCTTCAGCTTCTTTGTACTCAACTCACCTTCCACAGGGAACTGATAAAGCACTTCAGTGTCCTCCCAGCACTCCTGGTTCTGCTGTGCTTCCCCACGCCACGACAGCGCTGCCTTCCCATCCTGCTTGGAGGCAGAAGAGTCCTTCTGCAGGCTTTGTTTGGAGCCAGCTGGCAAGAAAACTCCCGTTCCTTGTCACAGAGGTGTATTGGAGGAAAATGGTGTGTTCCGTGATCTTCTCGGTAGTCTGCCACATCAGCCCCTTTTCAGTCCTACCTTTCAGGGCAGTATGTGTAATTTGTTATTTGCACAGCCCTGTGGATGCATTTCACACTTGCTTTAATTTGAGCCTATATAGTGGTTCCCTCGCTGTCCCACTCCCATCAGTTGCCTTCAGGTGACGTTATTTCTAGCTGGCTTTATGAACTCCCATCTTTGCAGGCTGTTCATTTGCTTATTTTTCTTTAGTAATATAGGTAAGTTTTCCTTTATTTCTTCTAAGCAATGAGCTACTTCTTCAGTCTCATATTTCCCCATTTGTTCAGTATAGTTTTTCTGTGACTTTTGATTCTTTACCCATTTCCTTGTTTCCTGCTCAACACTAGCTTGAAAAGTGCAAACTTACAAGAAAAATGGCTTGGGATTGTCAGTGTAGTTTTTGTGCTTTAGCATGCATATGTTCAAGTTTTTCCCTGATCAGGGCAGCACAGAGGCCAGTCACGGGAAGTAAATAGTCGTTCACGGTGCCGGCCCGATTAAGTTGGCCAGCACAGCATTTCTTCCTTCATACAGACGTGAACGCACGTCACACTACTTGCGGAAGACAAGCTGACGCGGCCCAGAGCGTGAGGCCCGCCGTAAGCTCCAGCACCAGGGCCTCGGCTCGGCCGCGCAGGCCCCACCGGCGCCGCTCGCCCGGCAGCACTGGCGGAAGCCGCCGGGCGGGGAGGGGAGCGCGCAGCCCGGCCCCGCCGCGCTCTGGGGCCGACCCCCGGCCGCAGGCGCCCGGCTTGGCAGCAGAGCCCGGCCCGGGGGGAGCCGGGCGGGGCCCGGGGGCGGCCTGCAGTAGTCCCCGGCGGTGCGGGGCCGCGTCTCCAGGCGCCGCAGCGAGGCGGGCGGCGAAGGACGTGTGAGCGGGGTTTCGGGGCCCTTTCCCCGGAGGGGCAGGGGCGTTCCACCAGCCCCCGGCCTGCAAATGCTGCGGCTGTTTCGTGGCTGATTTGGTTAACTGGGGAGTTGTGGGATTTCGGGCGGGGCGGGAGGAAACAGTTACTGGAGGGTGCTTGCGGATGGTCGTGAGGCCCCTCCCTTGAGGTGCTCTGGGAGCATAAAATACAGTCTGGAAAATGAATCCTAGACACACCGGCAGAGAGGGGGCTTGAGCAGCACATGCCAGTGTGAGATAGGCAGCCAGGGGCCTGGGCAGGACAGAGGGGATCGCTGATGGGCAGCTGGAGGCAAGCCATAGCGCCTGGTGCTGGACTTGGGCCTTGACACTTGGCTTTTGTCCACTTCCCAAGGCCAGAGCTGGCTGCTCCAGCAAGTAAGATGTTGGGGTTGCCTGTGCCCTGTAGTCATGGTTGTTTAAAAAGTCATTCACTGAAGAGAGAAGAGACAGAGAGCTCACAGCTGGATACATGGTTGTGATAAGGCGGCGTGTTTAGGTACTGCTCTGTTTGTGCTTCTCATAGATGCAGTGAGGCCACCTGGTCCTGTGCCAGTCTTCTGTGTAATGAAAATGTGCTACGTGTGCTCAGCATAACTTTTTTAAATTTTCATAGCTTCATTTGAAAACCTGGACATGACAAACAGTATTATTCTTTGAGCAGGAGGTGGATTGTTTTACATAGAAGATTTGAATTATATTTACTAAGATGTGTTTTGTTCAGTTTGCATAACTCAAGGCTTAGTCTTTGGAAAGAAGGCAATGGACACAAAGTTATTGCTGCTTCTTCGTACTTCTCTCTCAACCCTCTGGTTATTCCTTCTATCCTTCTTTGAATTATTGCATAATTCTCTGATGAACTAAAGAGATCATTTCAGCTGTAACCAACCTTTTAATCTTGTAATTAAACCAAAAAGTCTCAAAATCGATTATTCTCTGTAATATGGTCATTTAAATGATCACCATTCTGAAGGTCAGATCTAGCATTTTGAAATCAGAACCTTCTACCTCTCATCAACAAGCTTCAAACATACCTGAAGACATAATTGTGTGTCTTGGATCATTATGCTTACCCAGTGTATGAGTATACTTGGGTTCTCAGGTTATTTTAATTTGAACAGCTCTTTAATAAGCATTTGTAACAAAGTGCCTCATAGTAATAGTGTTCTATAGTGTCTCTAGTGACTAAAACAAGTGAATGGTTTAGATATTCTGAGGAATTAGTAATGTGTTTTTTTTTTTTTTTCAGTATTAGTCTGCTGTATATTTTCTCCACCCATCCATATTTAAATCTTTTGCTCTTATGAACAGAAAGCTTTTCAAGGCAGGATCTTTAGGGCCTTCAATTAGGGCAGTTGTACTCATGTTTTCCTAATATAGTGGAATTTTCAACCTCATGGGCTTTTTAACATCACAGCATAAATGATGATAAAATATATTTTTTAAATGTTTCTGTGAAATACCCTAATCATTTGAACTGCCGATTTGGAGTAAAATTTAATAGGCTGTCAAGGTGAATAATAATTGAGAAATATTTTGCGTGTGTGTGTGTGTATATAAATATTTATGTTTTACTACTGAAGGAAACTGAAGCTTTACTAACTGAAGGGCAAAAAAGAAATCTATTTTTTTTTCTTCTGCGTTTTCCAGGGTCTTTCTGTAACTCTGGCACAGATGCTGTGAGATCACTAATGATGGCTAAGTATTTTGCTGCTTTATTGCTGAAAGGGGCTGAAGCGTTTAGACATGAGTTGGTTGATCAAGCCGAACAACACAATATCACAATATAACAGCAAAAGTGGCTTCAGTTGGAGAAAATGGTAAGAACTGTTTTCACATTGTGACAAAATTATTTGTCCTATAAATGTATCAGCTGTTTTGTCTGACTGATTCATAGTTATGTGGCAAATAGTGTAGTTAGTTATCAGGTGTTGAAAGTACATGCTGTGAATAGTAAAACTATTGTTTAAAAAATATACAGTCAGAGGTCTTTTTGTGAAAGCATATTTATATGAGAAAAGATGACTGATCTTAAACTGTGTGCTGTCTTATTTTTAAGAACAAGTCTGCGTAGATGGCTTTTCCATAGACCTGGTTGTTAAATGCAGTTTCTGGGGCATTTATGTGCCCCAGAAAATTAGCTCCATCCCAGCTAGACCCAGTACACTGTCTCACTTTGGGTTGCGATCATGCTGAATCATGTAAACCAGGCATTTTTGAGCTACAGGTAGTCACATAATTGGGAACCTTGACAGAGAATCCACAAGCAGAAAGACTGACGGTTGGTATTGACTAGGTGTGTAACATTCTTCCCTCCTAGTCAAGATTATACTGATATCTCAGGACTTACTGTTAGAAATTAGTTTACTGCTGGAATATTAAATTGAATCCTGTACTGAGAGAAGTCAGTATGAGTTTTGCCACTGTTTTCACATAGCCGTCTTAGTTTTCCCATGGGCTTCAAGTCCTTGTATCCTTTGGACATAAAAATTGAGTAATATTGTTGATACAGAAGGACAGATACAGTCCAGGAACATTGGCTACTTCAGAAAATATTTTTTTTATATGTGCCGCTTATATTTCATGAAGGATGTTTGAACTGTGTATCCAGATTTTGTTTGATCCCCTGAAATACCTGTTCTTGTTTCTTCTTTTTTTCTTTTTTTTTTTTTTTTTTTATTATTTCTAAACCCGTGCCTAAGTATTTGCATGATGTCTTTTTAGCTCCAAGTCTGGAACTAGGCCTGTTGCCACTTTTTGCCATGCACAATGTTAATTTCTTTTTTTTGTAGACAGCGTGTTAGCTTGTAACCTTCAGGTTAAGGGCTGGGGATGAATTCCAAATCTTATTAGTAAAACTATTTCTCTCCATGTGTTGTTGATTCTTTTTCAATCATCCACAGAGCTGTATAAATACCAACATGGGTAACCATAATTTAAAGGTAAAATCTCAGGATTGACTTTCCTAAAATGAAACATATGTTTGAATTTTATTTCAATTGAGGTTTCAGAAGTTTTATTTCAGTTCCAGGCTGCTTATGGAAATTCTTCGTGGCGTAAGAAATTCAAGCTTTATTCCTTAGGATTACTTTTCTGATAATATTGTTTCTTCTTTTGTAGTGTTACATAAAATACAGCTGTAAATAGCTGTCTAATGGTCCCAGAGCCCTCAGAACAACCCCAGAAAATTTTACCAAAGACATTCTGTTGATTGTTACATTCTAAACTGTTGCTGTCATCTTACTAGAAACTTAACAAGGTAAATAAATTGGAACATGAAGTCAGTACATATCTAGAGTAATGCAATTCTGAAACAGGGAAACTGGCCAAGATACCAAGTTATATCTAAATATATATCAGATACATATCTGATAGCTGAAGAAACTGAAAGATTTCCACTAAAGGTGTGGGTGTCTACATGTATATATGCAAGTTCTGTGTACATGCCAGGAGACTGGATACTTCTGTCTCAAAAATATAAGAAGCCTCAAAATGATGTGGTTCAAGAACAAGAAGCTTACTGCTCATGTAACATGGGCTAAAACCAAGGAGCAGGATATATTACAGTGTAGCCATTACAGTATTTCGGTGTAGTATTACTCATCTTTCTGGCTCTGACACCCAAGACAGAGCTTCTTTTATCCTTGGCAAGTGTCAACTATCTGTCTTGACCTCAGAAACTAGTGCTGTTCTCTGACATTATGTACCATTCCTGAGAATGTCATCATGGCTTTGGGAACTCGGGGCTTCTCCTTGAACTGATGCGAAGATGTGATTGGAGTGAGATAGTCACACCATTGACCTTCAGATGTTTTAACTTGGGCTTCCTGTAGAGCCAGTGGCGAGAAATGCTCAGAATAGTTTCAGGCCTAAATTAAATTCTTGTTCTGGAAGTGCAGAAGTTATGCTACATGGTACAGCTAAGCAATATAACTGTAACCTGACTTGCTCTCTGGAGGAACCTTGCTTTCTTCACTAGCCTCTTAGTTTAGATATTAAAATTAATGTCTAGTATTAGGTAACACAGTTAGCGTACAGCATGATAAAAGGGCAGGGAATGAACACTTAGACTTATCTTTAAAGAACTTAAAAATAATGTCTCTTTGACAATAGCAAGTGTCCTAGGGCATTTCTTGTTTTGATCTGAGCTAATCTTTTGGGGGGTTTTGTATGGTTTTTGGTTTTGGTTTGGTTTTTGGGTTTGGGTTTGTTTTGGTTTTTTTTTTTTTTTTTGTAAGCTTGTATTTTATTAATATTTCAGGCTGGGCATTGCCCATCCTGTAGGAAAAAGAGAGGGCAGGGAGCTTAACACATGCTAGACATCTGCCCTGCATAGAATGAAGTCATACTCCTGAAAAGAAGAGCCTGAATTTGTGCCTACAGTACTCTTTGCAGTCCTTGAAGAGAAGCACAGTCTTCTTCTCTGAAAGTGGACCAGCAGATGAAAGATGATGAAAACTCATGAGGTCTCAGTCGCTTCTCAAAGGGTGGATTAATGAGCAGCTAATATTTTAAACATATTCTTATACCATTACTTTTAGCCAAGTCAGCAAGTAGATCTACGTGGCCAAACAGGTGCTGGTACAGCAGATGAGCAGGCAGAAATGCTTGTGGGACAAAAGGGCAGGGCTGCGTCTCCTCTGTTAGGCAGTTGGCTAAGTTGCTTGTGAAGTTGCATCTTTGGCAATTCTTCAGCAAGGACTCAAATATGCAGGTGGCTGGCTGGATTGCAGCCTTTGGGCATATCCAAACTTGCAGAGTTAGAGTATTTCCAAACAGGTTCAACATAAAGTTCTCAATTTGATGCTGCCCAGATGTAGTCACAACATGCTGCAGCCAAGGATAAGCAGAATTTTGAAGGAGGCCAGGCTTCCTTACTGAAAGTTTGCTCACAGATGAAATCTGAAGAAACTGAAAGATTTCCACTGAAATGATGAGTGCTACCAAGCGTTGGCTGATCTTACCATATGTAGTCAGAATAAACTCTGTTTTGTAAAAACTGAGATGTAAACAGTGAAATTCCACTGTTAATAATTCAGTTTTGTGCATGTGAATTTCCCTTTGCTGTTTCAACACATTATAGGATCTGACTGCAGTTCCAGTCAGGTGCTTTTGTATAGTGTTGCCAAGTACTGTCATACTATCACACTTCATCATCTATGTGGGTGCACTGAAGAATGCACAGATGTTTATAAAGCATTGTAAGATCTTTCTGGGTGAATGGCATTATGCAAAGAAGATAATTATTCTAAAAATTAGTCCAAATATTCTGTATAAAGCAGATTTTGGCATTGTGAAAAGAACCAAAACATGCAACGATTTAGAGGTAGAGGAGGAATCCTTTTATTTTAAGGATAATATTGTTATAAAGTTAGAAATGAGTCATTCTCTAACTTATTTCTAACTGGGTGACTCGTGCTCTTGGCAAATTAATTGTCCAAGACAAGTGACTCAGATGCTATAGTTTTACTATTTTTTTAAACACATGGCTACTGCTATTACAAATAAACATGAGACTCGATTTCAGGTATAACAGATGTATCTATACCCTGCAAACTATGCCACAGTGCTGCTTGAGTATGTGTTACACATGCTGCATTTTTTTATCTTATGTTTTGTTTTCAGTTTTAGGTGGATGGTGTATGAGTTACAGGGTGTCCAAAGCAGCCATGGCCACCAAGAGTCTCAGCACTGAACTTGGACGAGGCAAATCTAGTGTGGTATGTACTTCCTTCTATCCAGGAACTGTGATTTATTAAAGCCTCATCACAGGAACATTCCCATGAATAAACTTTTCACCTCAGAATTCTTAGTAAGTTGTTTGATTAATATTACTGAGAATATTGATATGGGGATGATGGGAAGATCCATGCCATCTTTGTTTGGGATGGATATAGTGCCTTATTGTTGGCTGTAACCCTCTCTCTGTTTTCTTTCTTTTTTTCTACCTGCCCTCCCACCTCTGCCTTGGCTGCAGCTTGTAAGGTAGTATCACAGTGCAGATCTGATCTGATGAAACCACAACTAATACTGATGCCTGCCTATGATGGGAAGAGAACACAGACCACAAACTTGGGATTTCTGGCCTCTTATTAGGCAAGTCTGTTCCTCATCTTCCCCTTCGTGCCCCAGTTCCCTTTTGTTCCTTACCTTCGTCTGAATCATTAACTCATACTGAAGTTCATGTTACTGGTTGCTGGGAACCCAGTTTCATTTGGCTATATACACTCTTCCCTAAAAAACTCACATATCACCTACATGTTGAACATTCATCATGCAGTGAAAATATGGAACACAATTTTATTGTAATGGTTCTGAGTGATTTTCTGATGAAGAAATGAAGGGGAAAGTCTGGCACATTTTAGTGAGATGTTCATGTTTCTTGACTATGATTCATAAATTGGGAGTTTAAATTTCTAGTAAGTTTAGAAGTTATTCATGTTCATTTCAGATACCCATACATCCTTATTCTTAAAAAGTAGGCTATTTGCTAGTATAGTTGAAATTATTCCTGTACTGAGACAGGAGAATGTTTGAAGAAAACTGCATTGAGTAATAGTTTATATGCTCTTTATTTTGTTCAGTTGTAAATACAGTAGACAACAGATGAAATAACTATTGACGTAGAGAATAACACAAATTATGTCAAACAAGGACTTCAAACTGTGTGTTTTGAGGTCAGTAACCTGTGTGCATAGAACTTTGATCACATTGGTAACAGCTAAATGACATAACTTATGTGGATGTACGTGCAAAGATAAATAGGTAGCTTTTCACTGAATTTTTCAAGCAGAACAGGAAAATGTCAGTGAAGCGAAAATATAGGTTTCCAGCAGGCTCAAGGAGCTTCAACAAAGGAAGCAAATACTGATGAGTTAATTTGCTGAAACGGCAAGCAAGGGGTTTTTTTCTGCTTGTTTGTTTTTTAAACCTAAATGGATCCTGTTTTCAATAAGCAGCATAAAGGAGGATTCTTTCCAGGGCCCTGCCATATCAAATAGAAGACAGCATGTACTGTCTGGTGAAATGTAAGTTTGACTGCTAATCAGCCAACCCAAAGCATTGCTAAATTAAAAGCCAGTTTTCTTGAGAATACAACTTCTGGGGAACTGAAGCTATTTCTTGATTCTGTGACTGGCTTAGAAAAATGGGAATTCCTTTTAAGAAAATGAAGATGTTATGATTTTTTCAAACAGAAGTCTTTCAGATTTCCATGTCAGCACTGACCTGCCTAGTCAAATGAATTAAAAACATGACAGTGACTCTGGAACAATGCAACTGAATTTTCCAGTAGCGGGACATGGGTATTATTTCCATTTTGGGTCAAACTGATCCAAGTATGGGTTTCAGTTTGGAGGTGGGACCTGTCTGCAAGTCCTTTCTCAGCTCTCTCACTACTTTTTGTTTTAGCACTGTTGCTTTTATTTCTTTAAATGGGAGGTGAGATGAGCAGTTATTCACAGTTTGTAAAGTGTCTGAAGATCTGTGGGTACAAAGCACTACATAAGTGCAAAATATTTAAATTCAAAACTATGTTATGTCTTCTTCCTTTTTCCTTATGCCAGTCTGTGCTGTGACTGAAATCAATCTGCTTATAATCAAATTTAAACTTGGTTGCTGAATAGAGGTGGAGAATTTTTTTATGTTTTAACCACAGACTTTCTAGTTCACTGCAACTAGGGTTCCAGTCTGATTTCTCTCTGCAGGGAAGATATATATATATGTATGTATATATATTTGGTTTTCAATGTTTTCATTGATCGGGTGGGCTTGGCTAGTCCTATGAAAAGTTGTGATGTGTCAATCCAGTGCTGTTTGCATTTGCTTCAAAATGTGGGAATTAATCTGCTCTAAAAATGGCTTGGTTTATGCATGCATTGTTTAGTTTATACATTCTGGGAGGATCAAAGGACTGAAAAATGGCAATAATAAGGAGGTCGTAAATCACACAAGTTGTCTTGGTTTAGGATTTTAGGTCAGGCATATCAATTCCATCTTATACTAGATTGCAGTTGTACCTGTGAATAGAGACTAAATCATGTCATGTAATTTCTGGGGATTCTCTTATTTGCAATCCATGATTACTGATGCCTCATAACCACTGCAGCAGTATTTTCCTCATACCTTCATCTGATGGGGTACCTGTATCTTTCTTTCTAGCTTATGTTCTTGTTGTCTCTCTTTTTTTTTTTTTTTTTTTTTTTTTTTTTTTTTTTTATTCTAAGAGGAATTGGAATTAAGATAAGATATACGTCTTGTTTGGCATTATAAGTACATTTTATAAAGGGTGGAAAAGCAAATCAATTGGTGCTTGACACATGCAGAGCAAAAGTATGAGGGATCGATGTCTTAGCCCTTGATCAGTTCTGTTTTCAGTGAATATATAGAGGCTTTGTAAACAAAAAAGGTACCTTTGTCTCCTGTTGTACGGGAAATACACAGTGCTTTTGTTTTCTCTTCCCATGTGTGAAATGGCTGGCACCAAAAGTAACTCTGAGGCTTCTTTATCTGACTTCCATGTCACAATTAAGGATAAATTCAACAAATTTGGTTAGCAGTGTTCATGGGATCAAGGAGTCTGATGTACCATTCTGGGTTAAAAAATACAATATATGTGTATAATTAGGACTTTATATATGAGTATCAGAATAATGCTTTTGTCCAAAGGTGTTCAGTTATACGTTATGAGAGAATAGAAAAATATTTTGTGCTCTTGTGGTATGCATGGCATATATGTTTCTTAGACCCTTTCAGGTTAATCATTGATTCAGAGAACTTGTTTTGATGACCCAGATGGTCTCTTTCAGTCTTAAATTCCCATTAGACTAAGTGTGTGTTTGTATTAGTTAAGCTTTATTGCAAGAAAACAAATATTTTGGTGACACTAAGGTTCTTGAGTGAAATGCAGGTTGCCTTCTATGCAGGAGACACCCTGGAAGTTACTTTCTATTGTGTTTTTTTTTCACAGTGTATCTAATGAAAAGACAGACGTCTATGATTGTTGTTCTGTTTTTTTTTTTTTTGTGTGTGTGTGTGTGTACATAGTTTATGTTGAACTTCTGAAAACCTGAAAGCTCTAAATTGGCCTCTTGAACAAAATGAAATGCGTTGCACAGAACAGACTATTCACTGTAGTATTTACTCTGAAAGGTCACCAGTCCCAGAAATATCAGAGGATGTAACTATGGCAAACCAATCCAGTGTTAGCATAATGTTTGGTTGTTTGCTGCCTTTGTTACTAGGTAGTTGAAGCCTTTAGGAACAAATTTGTCATTCATAGCACAGTCCCTTCCTACACAGGATTCTCATTCTTTGCAAACTTGGGTAAAAAAGATATTTTTTAAAAGATTAGCATTTGAGTTTTATTGTCCGTGGCTTCAGCTTAATCTCACGAGGACATATTAAATGTTACCTCAGCATCAAAAACCTAAGCAAATCTTTGGTTTATCTATCTGATAGCAAAGTCTTATTGATCGAGTACTAAAATCTTAACTCCAGATTAGTTGTGGTGTTTGGATATAAACCTGTGCTTAAATGATCTTTCAGACATACACTTTCCCACTACTGAAGGTGATTGAGAAATACCAAAGGTATGGTGTGTTTCTGTTTTGCACCAAGTCCCATCTGTGGGCTATTTTGGAAGAAGGAAAATAAAATCTCTGTGTCCTTTCTAGCCTTTGATGGGCACTCTGTGTTCCCTTCTGGATTAGAGGAGTAATCCAGTTTTGTCTGGTTTGGAAGTATGTATGTCTAGCTAGAAGAGTTCAGAGATGTTTTTTTTTCCTCTTCCACATACAGGCATAGAAAGTCTGGTTCCCTGTTGCTACTCGATTCATAATCATTAATATCCATAGGAACTTCATGTCGACATTTAAGCTCTGGGAATATAGACCAATGCAAGTGAAAAAATCTCCATGCAGCTGAGTATTGATAGGAGAACCAGTTTCTCCTCTTCAGATGTGGCAGTGCTGAAAGGGGAAGAGAGAGAGTCTTCTGTAATTGTCAGGCATTCTGTTGTGCTTGTTTGAAACTGTTACTTCCCTCCTGATGTCATTAAGAAGGACCATAAAGAAATGCTGAATTGGAAAAAAACAAGAAAAAAAAAAAAAAAAAAAAGAAGGCATTTAGCCAGGCAAAACCAGTATGTATACATACATGAGGGTAATTGTCTGTGGGGGAGCAGTCAGGAGCCAAGGCCATTGTTTTCTCTACCAAATGCTCTGCCACTTGTGCAATCATTTTTACGATAATGAACAGTAATTCTTAATCACTGGGTTGTTAACTTGCCTGTTTTCCAATTACATTTCGTATATTTAAGTTTTGTAGTTAAAGATAAGCAGCAGTACACTGAGCCAAATACTTAGGTATGAGGTATAGTAGATGGCAGCAAAGGAGAGTGTATTTGAAATTAGATTTTTAGGTTTTTTACATATCTAGTGGTTTGAATCAATTGCCTGGCTTTTCATTTTTTACAAAGTCTCAGCAGAATGGAAACTGTGGCATGAAAAAAAGATGATTCACCCGCAAAGCCTACTTGATCTTCACTGGCTTGTAATCCTAAACAATAATCAAGGACTCGATTTTAAATGTTTACTGATTTGGGGAGTTTTATTTTAAATGTCTGAACTAAGGCACTGAAGGTTTTTGTTTCCTGTCAAAAATGGGCATCAACAGCTCTGCCAAGGGCCAGTTAAAGTTGTGGAGAGTAAATGCACCTGCAAGTTAAGTTGTAATTGTCTAGCTGGACACATTGGCAGAAAAAGCTTTAGAAGGAAAAGATTCTCACTGTTTTGTGGCTGCTGGGTGCTTTTTTTCAGTTGGGATGAAAGAGAGCAACCACAATCTCTAACCTCATCTCAGAACTTCCAGAGGGTAACTGTAGAAACCACTTGGGCCACTGCAAAACCTGGCCTCAGGGATGGGCAGGCTGGTAAGACCAGACTACACCTGTGTACTCTTCTGACTGTTATTCCCTAGTCTTGGCTGTTGTTTTTAGGTACGTAAGTAGTGTTCTAGTCCAGACAACTTTTTCCAGGTAGCATTCATACTGCCTTGTCTGGACACTCAGAATGGCGCTTGGGCCAGGAGATCTATCT